AAACTACACAGACCTAACCAGCACCTACAGAACAATTCAACAACTGCAGAACACATATTCTTCTCACCTGCACCTGGCAGATCCTCCAGGACCGACCTGTAGGAACCATGTGTGAGACCATAGAAACATAAAAATATTGATAAGTGTGGAAATAGACATTCTGATTGGTAGGAATATGGGAATCTGTAATGTTTCATTTTGCTTTGCTTTAATTGCTAATTTTCCTATAATAAGCAAAGTAAGAAAATGACAAATAAAGAACTGATGATTAGTAATGGAGAAGCATGAACCCAGAGAGAGGGAAAATTGCTTCCTCTCATGTGGACTATTGAATATTTGCCACACAGCCTGCGACTATGGCCATGCAGGTAGTGTCTTGGGACACGGGTGGCCCTGAAATGTAGGCAAATCTGGCCAAGGCCAAGCCAGGACTTCCGCTTAGCCAACCTCAAGCACACCTCCCTGTTGGATGCATCCAGGATCCCCTGTGACCCCACCTCGCTGAGGATATTTCAGGCCAAGACTACAAAATTAGCACAGAGCCATCTGTACTGGCCAGGACAAGTTTTTTCTGTCTTGGTCCCTGTCCTTTTGCCTTGAGCCAACTCAAAGACAGACAGGGAAGCCAGAGGATGCCTCTATGCATATAGAGGATATATGTACCTTCAGCATGTATTGACCCAGGTGCGATGTTCATGACACACACCTTTTCTCAGGCTCACCACGAGCCTGGTCTAGAGTTTGAAGAAAAGAAAAAGGAAACAGTAAACTGCAAAATCTCAATTTCTGGCTTCCCAAATTTTTGATTCCCAGACATATGGGCCCAATGGGGAATTCGAGGACCGTGGTATGGACCTAAACACAAGCCAGCCTGAAAATCAGCGTTGGAATGACGCGATTCAGGACCTAAGCATGGCCCTACACCAAGGGTATGAGATGGATCTGCGTGTCGTGTAATTAGAAATCAATATGAATACAGTGCTCTTCATTTACACAAAACAGCTCTGTCTCTCAGCCCTGGGAGCAGCTCTCCTGCCATGGCCCCTCTCCCCCTGAAAATGTACGCCTGCTCCAGATCCGTCTCCAGCCCCTCTGTGGTCCGGAGCACCTCCCCACTGCTGAGCCAGCCGCTGTCTGCGGTTGTGCTGGACAGACCAGAGACACCGACAGATGAGGGCCTCTGCAGCTTTGCAGTCTCTCATGCCCTGACCTCACTTGTCCCTAGCCGCAGCTTCCAAACCAGCATCACTTCCAGGGACATGGAGACAGCAGCCAAGTTCCCCGGAACTGGGGCTGCCGCAGTTAGGGTTGCTGGCTCTGGGGCTGGGATTGGCACTGTGTTTGGGAGCCTCACATCAGTTAGGCCAGGAACCCTTCTCTGAAGCAGCAGCTCTTCTCCTACGTCATTCTGGCTTTCGCCCTCTCAGAGGCCATGGGGCTCTTCTGCCTGATGGTGGCCTTTCTCATCCCTTCTCCCCCTCACCTAGTTCTTTCTCCCGTGTCTCATCTGCCCATGTGTTTCCCTCCCATACACTTCCCCAGGCTTCCTGGAAGAGTGACCAGCTCACGGTTTGACAGAGGGAAGACAAATAAACACTGTATTAATAAGGTGAAAAAAATAAAACAAAATAAAATAAAACAAAACATAGGAGGAAGGGGTTAGTGTTGGGGGCAGGGGGCAACAAGGGGAGAGATGGCAGTGGGCGGAGCCCAGGACAGGGTGAGGAGCACAGGACTGAGGTGAAGCTGACTCGAGGTGAGTGTGGCAGGGGGTGCTGGCTGGAAGGGGCTGGTGATGGAGGGGCCAGCATCCAGGGCTCCACTCCAAAGGAAGGGGTTCTAGGCCTTGGCTGCTGGAGGTGCAGGTCTGGCTGGCTCACCAGGGAGTCCAGGTCCACGAGGGTGGCGTTGGGGCCCAGGAACGACTCTGGGGTCTTCCATGTGGGGGACGTGGGGGCTGAGGGTGGGGGCTCCCCACGGCAAAGAGCCCAAGACCCCACTCATGTCAAAGGCCCCTGGGCTGCAGGTGGGCGCCTCTCCTGCTAGCAACTCCATCTCCTCTGTGCTGCTCGCTGAGGTTGGCAGGGCCGTGCGGACTCGGTCAGAGTCTGAGAACTCATCAGGCTCAGTGTCAAAGCCCCCATCCACGCTCTTGCAGTGGCATTGGTGTTCGGCTTGGCAGGTGACCCTCCCCAGAGGTTGGAGAAGGCTGGCGCCCGAGCCCAGGGATCCGAGGCTGGGGTCTGCTGACAGAGGCCATGCCCTCAGAGTGTCCCCATGGGTCAGGCATGGGCCCCTCTCCTGGTGCAGGGACTGGTGTCCCACTTCATGGGTCAACTGAGGGCCTTGGAGGCAGCAGACCTCCAGGGGTCCCTAGAGGCTAGCATGGGAGCTGGACTGCCCCAGGGTTCAGCAGCTGGAGGGACAGCGGGTCCCCCCCCAGGAGTCCAAGGCAGGGGCAGCTGCAGGGACAGCAGCAGTCACGGGTGTTCCCCTCCCCCCACACACCCCACGCTTGGAGGCTGGTGCAGGAGTGATCTGAAAAGATGTCGGGCCCCTTTGTACATGATACCTGACATGGCCTTCCCCTTCCCTCCTCCCTGGATGGGCATGCCCCTGCCTCCACCCTTTGCCTTCCTCTTATGCCTTTGCCCCTGCAAGTTTTGCTGGGCTGACCACAGAGGAGCTTCGGGCTCTGGAAGGCCACAAGAGACAGCACTTGGAGGCCAGGCTGCAGAGACTGCGCAACATGTGCACACTGCTGGATGCCGTCATGCAGATGAACCAGTACCTCACTGTGCTAGCCTTCTTGGGGCACAGGCTCCCGGCCTGACACTTCAGTCAGCCCCATGGAAGAGACTGCTTCCACAGGGTCGCTTTGGCCTCCACCAGCACTCCCACTTCTGGGGACACCACCCCATCCCAGCCCAGGAAACAGAAAAGCCTCCAGCTCCTGAGTCGGTGGGCACCGAGGAGCTACCGGAGGATGGACAGCCAGATGCTGCAGAGCTCTGCCGCTGCCGCCTGCAAAAGCTCAAGTCCCCTGTTGCCCGGGGACTTTGCCCCAGTCCTGTTCCACAGCCCTCACTTGAATTCATCTTGCCACCAGATGCCAGCTCCCGCTATCTGACCAGTGAGTCCTAACCCCAGCTCTGACGAAGAGGAAGCGGCATTCCTGAGGCCAGCTGGAAAGAAGGCTGTTTCCTGTTGGCCCCACTCCCATGGGGATGCTGGTCCGTTCTGCTGTCCTCTCCACCTCTGCAGCACTGTGCTGTGCTAGGGCTTGGCTAGGCCTGGCAAGGCAGAAGGTTCAGCCTCTAAGAGCCTCTTCCCCACCCTTTCTGGGGGAAGGGCAGCTCCTCAGAGTCCTACTGTGTGTGAGGGGTCATGCTGCAGTTCGGGACAGCATTAGCTCCCATTCCCAAGTGTGGATCCCAGAAGGGCTGGAGGCAGAACGGGAACTTGCTGCTGGCCTTCTGGCCAAGACTGGTACCAATCTCCTCTTCATACTTCGATCTTCCCAGAAGCCCCTTGTGGCAGTAGCTGTGCCCCCATGCCCTCTGGCATTTCCACATCTTCCTGGCGACCACACATTTGAGGGAAATCGGGGGGGGGCAGGAGGGCAGCACTGAGGGACCCTGCCCCTCCCCCAGGCCCTTTCCCCTGCAGCTTCTCAAGTGAGGCTGAGCCACCTCACCCAGCAGCCACTGCCCAGCTGCACCAGGGCTCAGGGCTGGCGTCCTTCTCCTCAACCACTGCAACCCAGAATCCAAGAAAGCCGCTGTTGAGCCTGCAGGACTTTTCTTGAGTTAGGATTGGAGCAACTTCCTCACCTAGTGGCTTTCGGCTTAAATCAATTTTTGGAATTCTGATGCTTGACCCCAGGAAGGAGGAGCATGAGTGCTGGCTTCTGGTATTTCTAGTTTAGAACAGGCTCTGGGACAGGAAGGGAACATGGGAGCCCAGGACTGCTTGCCCCTGTCTTTCTTCCCCTCAGTTTGGTGTTACAGAGTTGCTGGAGACAGTTTCAGATGATTATTTAATTTGTAAATATTGTACAAATTTTAATAGCTTAAATTGTATATACAGCCAAATAAAAACTGGCATTAAACAAAATTTAAAAATAAAAAAATTTTTTTAAATGTTTTTATTTTATTAAAAAAATTTTGCAATCATATTATACTTTTTACATCTTCTATTTACATCTTTAATTAGAATTCTGAAGATTTTATCATCCATCTGTGAGAGCCAACCTGACTCCATTTTGTGCCTCATCACCGTTCCCCCCATTTCTTGTAGATTCCAGGTGGTTGCCTCCCCTCACCCCTTGGGAGTCCCCTCAGTTGATGCTACTGTATCCCATGTGGTGGAGCATTCTGAAACTGTATGTTATCTTTAAAACCTTCTCTTTTGGTAGAGCAGTCTACCACTCTATGTTATCTTTGTAACCTTCCCATTTGGTAGAAGAGTCAGCGAGTATATGTTACCTTTGTGACCTTCCGATGTGGTAGAGCAGTCTTCCACTATGTGTTATCTTTACAACCTTGTAAACAGAATGCTCTGCACCTGTGTGATAGTTGGTTCCAACTAAACTGTGTGAAACTTCCCCAGCCCCACTAGCTTAGCAAAGTTCAGCTCCTGTGAGATTCCGCTTGTGCTCCCCCTCTCCCTGAGCCCTCCACAACTAGAAGAGCCGCCTAAAGGAGACTCTCAAGCCCATTTTCATCACTGAGAGTTTTTCCAGCACGAGCCACTCTCAGTCGCTGGCAATAAAGATTGAAATTTGGCTCAAAATGTAGCGATTCTCTAGACTCTCTCATGATTTAGTATAACATATCGGCTTTACACAGTTTACACAGTACATGATTCCAAAATTCTTCACCTGTGTCTGTAAAATAATGGAGAACGATAATTTTCCTGCTGTAACAACTTCTCACAAAAGCACAAGGAAATCAGGATATTGGTGCTTCACTGATAATTTGGAGAAAGCTTTTGCATGTCAAATCACAAATTCTTCCTCGAATGACATTCTGGCTAAGAGAGCTTTGCCTTGGTGAATTTAAAAAAATTCCCTCAGGGATAGTATTAAGATTGACCAGGCTTCTCTGTGTTCTCTTCCTTTGAACAAATGAACCAATGTAGTCCAAGTCACGTAAATTCTGAGTTTTGATCGCCTGCAGCCTAACTGCCTGGCCAGCTTCGTAGGGTTGTAGTGAGGAGTCCAGCAACATGAGGCAGTATCTTGAGCCCCTCTTCTATGTGCAGACTTAGGGGCCTGCCCGTCCCCTCAGGGAGCTCCTCTGCTTCTCACTTCCCACCTGGCTGCCTCAGCTCTTCTCTCCTCCCTGTGCCCTCTGTCCTGCTCTCACCCAGCCCTTCCTATGAGCCAGGGCCCTGGGGCTTGGGAGCTCTCTTCCTCCTGGTGGGTGTCTGCTGAGTGGGCTGAGCATCTCTCACTCCTGTGCCTGCTAGAGAGGCCCAGAGCGGGGCAGGGGAGGCCTGGGCGTGGCAGGCCTGAGAACCAGGGCAACAGTGTGGTGTCTGCTGAGCTGGAGACAGGACTGTGGAGAGACACCCCATCCTCCCAAGGGGGAGCCGGGCTGGCTCAGGTGTCATCTCGCCAGAGATACATGTATCAACAGCATGGCATTGGTGCCTGGGGGGGGAAGATGATGACAACCAGTCATCCAGCGCTTTGGCCACTGGGACCCAGCGAGCAAGTAGCAGCCAGACCTCGGGCCCTGTGTCCGCCTGGAGAATGAATAGTTCAGAGAAAATGTGCTGTGAAACCCGGCAGACAAGGCCTTCAACCAGTCCATCTGGCCCTCCTGGACCACTGGTTCTTCAATGGCATTGGCAACTACCTTGGAGCAGAGATCCTGTTGCAGCTGAGGATCCCTCCCTTTGAGAAGGCGTGCACAGTCCTGGAGGCCCTGCAGGGACACCAGCCAAGCCCGGAGCTCACTCTGAGCCAGAAGGTCAGGGTTAAGCTGCAGAACCTGGACCTGCTGGAACTGTGCCACTCAGTGCCCAAGGAAGTGGTCCAGCTGGGGAGCAAAGGCCATGGGCAGGAGCACAGAGAGGAAGGCTTCTCTGCCTTCAGAGCCTGGCTGCAGTGCTATAGCATGCCGGGCATGAGCTCCCTGCTGGACCGGAATGGCCACACCATCTGATTCCAGGGGGATCCTGGGCCCCTGGCCCACAATGGGGCCAGGTCCTGAGAAAAGAAATCTCAGGAAACCAGCCAGCACCTGTGGTCAGAATGGAGCACCTTCCACCTCCAATCAAGGCCCCTCCTAAGATGCCAAGGGCCCAGAGACACCTTCCTGAGATGACTGCAGCCCGGCAGCCTGAGAGGTCAGGGGCGTGGCCTTGACAGGGATATTGGTACCTGGCCTCTTCCCGACTCTCTGCTTCCCAGGTGCTAGGAGGTGAGGGGCTTCCTCCTCCAACACTCCTGCCATGAAGTGCTGTGCTGCCCCAAGCGCACAGTGACCCTGGACGGAAACCTCTGCTGATGAATGTCAGGTGTCCTGCCACAGCCTGGAAAGCTATGAACACAGCCCTCTTGGTGCCAATGCTGTCACTCCTGGTTTGATGCCCTAGTCTGTCTTCCTCACTAGATGACAGCATGACTGAGAGCTTGGGGGATCCAGACTGGAATCCCAGCTCTACCCTGCTCTGGCTGTGGAAATCTGGGACTTCACTTTATCCCTCCATGATTCATGGTCCTCGTCCATAAAATCCCGGTGATCCTGACAGCAGGAAGAGGAAGAGCAGCACTGGGCACTGAGCACTCTCAGAGGATCACAAGTGTCACTGTGCTGAAGCTCTGCTGACTGTGCTGGCCACATGGCAGAGCTGTTTCTGGTTGTTGGCACTGAATCGATCCTCAGGCAGCTGCTCTGGGGCAGAAGCTGCCTCACTTGATCACTTGCCTGTCTCCATGTTCTTCAATCCTGTGGCCCCCTCCTGCTGTCACCCACAGAAGCTCTCAGCATTGGGCCTGCACCACTGGTGTCTGTAGTGCCCGCACCATTTTCCTGGCTCTGAGTGTCCCCGACATTGGTGTCATAAACAAATCTCTACAGTGCTGATGGTGCATGGGGAAAAGACAGGCCGAGTTTGAGAGAAGTCCTGGAAGCAGACTGCCTTGGGCTGGGGCCAACTGTGTCCTCAATGACAGAGGAGGAGGTGGGGAGGCCACAGAGATGTTAGCTATGGGGCTCGGGGCCTAGGACCAGGTCCGTTGGGCTGCACTGACATCTGGTCCAGGATGCTCCGTGGGTGGGACTGGGATGATGTGGAGACGCTGTCACACACCTGTCTGGTGACTGGGCAGGGGTGGCTCCTACCATGAACTCAGTGCACAGAGGATCAGCGTGGCCTCTGCATATTCCTGGGCTGCTCACAGCATGGCCGAGTCTAGGCTTCTGCACGGGGGCCAGGGGAACAACACAGTGTCCCCATTCACAGAACAGGCAGTACTGTCTCTCTTCACCTGGGCTCACTGTCCTTCCAGTGCCAACTCAGCAGCTTCTTGATGGAAGCCCTCACATGTGGACATGCCAGGAGGTGAGCAGAGAGAAGCTCCAGGCCATGGAGGTCTGTGGGATAAAGTCACAGCTGTGCTCAACAAAGCCCACCCTCACCCAGCCCCCACATCTACCTGCACCCAGTTGGGAGGCTGTGGTCTGGGGGCTCCAAGGTGCCTGGCACTCCCTGGTCCTAGGGGAGCCTCCCTGGGGCAGAGGGACACAAGTCAGGGAATCCCCCACCTGCTGCTGCTCTGTCTTCCTCCCACTGAATCTCAGCTCCTGATGCCCACACAGCCTTCTGTGCTGCACACCCCCCTCCCTCCCACAGGATGCATGGGTGTCCTTGACCTCTCCTTTCCCTCCAGCTCCCTAGACAGGTCTGCAGGGTGACTCACCATGGCTTCCTCCTTTGTGGCTGATCCCCCATGAGCAGGATCGCCACGTCTATGGAGTCACTTCTCAAGGATCTGTACTAAAAATGCAAGGAGATGTGTGAAATGGACACATACCAGACATGTGGAAACATCAGATGCTATTGTTGGCTGCGGTCAGCCCCACCCTCCTCTGCAGTAGACCCCACAGCAAGTCCTCCTGTCCATCTGAGACTCTTCCCTATGACCATGACTCCTCCATCCCTCTGCCTTCCTCTTCTCCCTGACAATTGAAAAGACATCATCAGGACACAGCCCACTCACAGGAAGCTCTTGAACCTCCCTCCCTCCTTGAGGGTGTCTGGGTCTCTGCTGGGTACTACTTACATTGGGGCCACCTTGTTTTGGTGGCGCCCTGAGAGTGGCAGGCAGCAGCAGCACAGGGCTGTCAGGCAGCCTCTGATGCTCCTCTTCAGAGCCTTCCAGCATCACCTCCCTCTGCTGCTAGGGGTGGAGGTGGGGCTGGAGCTAGAGCAGGAAGCCCCAGGGCCAGGCTGGCAGAACACCCTGGGAGCGGCAGGGATAGGCTGGCAGGACATGCCGGGAGTTGGGGTCCTGGGGATGGGAATGGGTGGCTGGGAGTCTCCGCCACCCTGCCTTCCTATGGGCTCCACTCCAGGAAATAAGAGGCCCGTGCAGGTGACAGGTGCGCTGGCACTCCTCTGGGAGATGTGAGATGAGGGTGCAGGAGCTGTTGAGGGTGATGCTATTTCTTCATCTGGATCCTCATCCTCAGGGGCACACACAGGCTTCACACGAATCCTTAAGGGTGGCCCCTGGAGTCCCTGGCTCTGCAACAGCAGGAATGTGTCCATCTCCTTTCTCCTCGCTGAGTTGATGACCTTCAGTGGGTTAAATCCCATGCCATCCATAACATTAAGGATTGCCATTTTGGGGGGCATAGGGAGCATCTCAGGACTGGGGGGAGGGGCATCTTGGAGCCAGTGGTGCTGCAGCACCTCCTGCGCTGTTGGCCGCATCCTGGGGTTGAAGCACAAGAGGTTCCAGATGAGATCTTGGGCATCCCGGGAGATGGACTGGGGGCAAGAGCACCTCCCAGATAGCATAGTTTGGACCATCTCTGTTTTATCCCCATTAAAGGGGAGCTGCCCCGTGAGCAGTTCATAGAGTATGATGCCAAGGGCCCAAACATCCAGGGGAGGGCCTTCATATCTCCTATCCAAGAGCCGCTCTGGGGCACAGTATTTCAGAGTGCCATAAGTCACAGCCACCTCCTTCCCAGGGAGGAACCGGGATCCCACCCCAAAGTCACAGATTTTGGTGTGACCTTGGGAATTGATTAAAACATTTTGGGGTTTGAGGTCCCCGTGTACAATTCCCTGGGCATGACAATAATCCATGGCTCCCATGATATCTTGAAATACCCCTCGGGCCTCCTCCTCCGGCAGCCTGTGGTTTTCAGTCCTGAGGATCCGTTGCCGCAGGTTTCCCCCTGTCACATACTCTAGGACCAGGTATACTTTGTCCTCGCTTTCGATGACCTCCAGTAGCTGTACGATGTTAGGGTGCTGAAGGTCCTGCAGGATCTCCACCTCCCATACAATGTAGTGTGCTGGCACCCTTGCCTTCACTAACTCCTTCACAGCGACCAGCATCCCCGTGCCACGGTGTTTGGCCAGGGAGACCCTACCAAACCTGCCATGGCCCAAGGGGCCCAGCACCTCATAGTTTTCCTGGAGGCTGTGACTGGTGGAGAGGCCCAGCCAAAATGGTCCCCCAGGCACAATAATCTCAGTCCACATCTCGATGGAAACAGAAGCTCCACGCTCCACACCACCAACCCGGTCACCAAATCACCACCAACACTCGCCGTCCAACTCCTACGTCACCCACAAGAGATCCACCTGAGCCTCGGCCTTATATAGCTAACAACTGTGACCTCACACTGGGTTCTGTGAGGTAGCAGAACCAATGGGCCCAGGCAGATCTGGCCACACCCCCTAGGGCCACCTCATTCTTGCCCACAAGGACCCTTTGTTTGTCATAAA